CCCCAAAACCCCAAAACCCCAAAACCCCAAAACCCCTCTGAAAGTTTGCGGAATTGTTTTAAATATTTAAATAAATAAGCGGAGATAGCCATGTTCCTTGGACATATTGTGATGGCACAGATCCAGAACCAGAAACGATACGAGCAAGCTTTATTAGAGATCTTGCAGTACCTTAAAACTCATGATAGCGAAGTGGATATAAAATTTGATTCCAATTATTGCACTATTTCAGCAAAGGAGCAGTTTTATGATGTGGTTCATATTCCTTTTCAAGTGAACCATCTCAAGACTTGTTACTACAGAATCTACCATGGAATCAATCCTAGCGAGGACGTTAAAATTTTTGGAGGCATCGCTTGGGAGGTTATGAATATACTGAAGGAGCATTTCCCCAGCAAGATCCATATTTATCAAGAAAATTTAGAAATCTGCGATCCATATTATAAGCCATTGACCACAAAAGAAGAGGTCAGGAGGCAAGCCAGCTGCCTTGAAGCAAGGAAAGAGACTCAGTATTTGTTAACAGTTGATGAGCTAGAGGATCTATGGGCTGTCTTAGATACTTCTATTAAGATTAATGACTTCAAAATTCAGACTAACTGTAAGTAACCCTGTGTTGATATATTATAGTGCTTGAGACATTGCTGAACCCAGAATTCACCTCAAATGCTAGACTTGTACAATCTTTTTGACATGAATTAATACATGAGCTAATAGAAAAAGAGCAGTCTCAGAGCTTATTTAAAGTCCAAGAACTTTCAATCAACTTAAAAACAAGGTATGAAGATGCCAAGAGAATCGAGGAATCTAAAGAAGAGGAAGAGCAAGAAGCCTCTCCCGGGAAATCCAAGTCAATTTCAGCACTTTCTGACCAGGAGAGCACCTTCGAGAGACCAATGAGCATGAGAGTTTGTATGTTTCAGATCAATGAGAGTAATAATCTGGAAAGAATCACTAATCTTCTGCAAAACTTGCACTCTTTCTCTAGTGAGAATCTGTTTAAACTTGCTCATAAGTATGACCTAGACCAGAAGTTAATCAGGATTATTCAAAAATACTGCAATGGAGATTACGGGTTTGACCTGAATGTTTCAAAAATTGGATCTTTCCAAAGAAATTACTTCAGGGTCATAATGAAAACCTTCACTACAGAAGTGTTGGTCGATAAGCTAGCTGACTCAGATTTCTTCGAGCTTTATGGACAGCTGATCCAGGAAGCCCTCATCTTTGCGTATGATTATACCTTCAAAATTGATATGCCGGCAGGATGTAAAATATTTGAGTTCCTAAGAGAGTCTTTAGACATCTTTAACCTTCTAATGAATCCGAAGTTCCTACCTAACCTCTCAGGAATTTTAGAAATCTTCGCTAAGTTACAAGAGAGGCTTCAAAAGGTTTCAATGTCAGGCGAAAACTCAAAGTAAGCATCTCAGTAACATTATAGGGTTGGTTCAACGAACAATGATTTCCTAATGAAGTTTCTTGAGACAAACTTTACTAAGGATACTGGGGTTGATGAGATCGATGTTGATAAGAACTTTACCGAAAATAATCCTAAATTACAAGAAAACCTCGTCAACTGATGTCCTAAATTATCAGGTTTCGGGGAGAGACTGGTGTACCTGAGATGAAAATTTGAAGCAATTGCTGAGTATACCAACACATCTAATCACATTCTTCCTGGTAAGGCCACTTATTATCTAATCTAGGTCTGTTTGGCTCAAACGATCGGCCTCTATATAACGAAGGAATATCAAAAATCCAGACAGAGGAATTAAAGTTTGGGCAAGATACTAATTATGGAATTGATCCAACAGATCCAAAGAAAGACTATACTAGGCTCTCTCGAGATTATGTCAGAAGCTACCAGGATGTGAAGAATGGGTACTATGACAAAGAGAATCTAGGCAACAGAATAAATGAAGAAAATGAGTATAAGAGGTCAAAGAATAGTAAGGAGATTTCACACAAAAGCTTTGTTCCAAGAGAGCCTCACTATTACTCTGGCCAGAACTATAATGAAAGACCTTTAGACTACAACGGCTCATATAAGCTTAAGACTTGCACTAAGGATAGGCATGGGAGGGACCTGGACACCTCTCCAATGAACAAAGACTCTGTAGCCTCCCCAATATCGTACCAGAGTAACAACGCATATGTGGAAGAGCCGGATCTTAGGTACGGCGAAACACATGGCCGGACAACCTTCCAAAGGAACCCTTATGAGTAGACACTGGCTGAGTAATTACGAAATAATTTTCAATATGACCTTTTAGTAGCGGGGTTTTGGGGTTTTGGGGTTTTGGGG